AGTACGGTGAGAAGATCAGATCTGATTTTTTTAATCTTCTGCAGTTCTGAAAATACTGGGCTACTGTTGGCTGGCCAACACCCACGTCTTTCCAAAAGCCTCCTCCTTACTTTCCATTCAACATGACTTAGTGCTGGGGGTGGGGAGGAGTCGGCTGTGCAATAGTCTCTGTTGGGCTTCTCTGGGAAGGGGAATCTTTGGGTTTGAGCAAAAAATACCAACACTGTTGCGACGGCACTGCTAAATATAAATTCAGAAATGATCATTCAAGATGTTTTTACGTATGCAGAGAGGTCAAACTCCAGGCTCAGACTTACTGCTTGCTTGCTGCAATCCAGATTCATCACCAGCTTCCTTTATTCATCCAAAGGCACTTAATTAGCTGAAGGGCTTGCTCCTTTGCCTTCAAAAGCTCTCCACTACCTCAAAGGCTTTGCTTGAGCATTGTGCTATCACTGCCCTTTGAAATCAAATCTGTTTTTCTTCCCTGCAGCATTAGTTAAAAAAAAAAATATATATATATATTTTTTTTTAAACTAATATATATATATATAAAAGTTTTCCCCATGAAAAGAGAAGGAAAAGGAGAAGGAAGAGGAAAAACAAAAAGAGAAGAAACAAGAGAGGGATGAAAAAAGGGAAGATCAGTGGGAAAGACCAAGCAGAACTTCACTCACAGTTAGATAAGCGTGACGCTTAAAGACAAAAGGGACGGGGCAGGGAAGGGACAGGGGAAAGACTGAAACTGCAGATGAAATCTGGGATTCCAGTCTTATTAATAATATAAGATATCACAGCTTGTTTTGTGTGTCAGGAAAATTTACAACATCTCAGAAATCCCCACTAAAAGAGATTGTTTTCCCTGTACATACACAACTGAATGCACATTTCTATTCTTATATTAATAAAAGTTGAATTTTGTATTCCATTATATTTATTCAACCTTTAACATCTAAGCTCTGGGTCAGTTTGCTCTTTATAACAGTGCACTTCTGCAGTTTTGTTTCTATTTTAAGAGAGCTCATGCATAGAAGCAAGATTTTTTGTTCACTTTTTTTCCTCCTAGCATATTTAATGAAGCTTGGGGGGTTTTGGTGTTTCTGCAGCCTGTGATTTACTCCACCAACTCAGATAATCTATTGCTTCTTTCACCACTGTTAAAGAAACACTGTCAAGTCCTTCACGGAGTTCTTTTTAAAATAAAAAAATCTTCATTGCAGTCTTCAATATCTCACATACAGTCAGCATACAGTAAAATACAGCTATTTATATTGCAAGATTTTTCTCTCTGTTTCTTCTGCTATCATTTTTTTCCCTTTTCCATAATTTTTGGCAACGGAGCTGAAACAAACATACCCTCCACTGGCAGCCTGGTATACAACTATCTGGATGTCAGCAGAAATGTGGAGGGCTCTAAGAATAGCACATTTGGTTCCCGCAGAGCAAGTGCAGCTCAGAAATGCACAATGTGTCACACCCAAACAATAGCTATTTATTAGCCACGTCCCCCCAAGAAAACAAGCCTTTACATCGAGTCTTGTCTGAAAGTGCTACAGAGCAGTGGGCAATGCAGCCCCCTTCCCAGGGCTCTGGAACTCAGACAGACTTGGGCATGGAAAACTCACAGCCCCCCAAAAGGTTTAAATGCAGAGATCCTCAGCTGCTCTTCCTACAAGCAGGAGAACTCCTCTTTCCACTCACGAGGGCCCGTTTCTATTCTGATATCGTTCGGAAGAAGAGAATGGCCCTTCTGAACTCAGGCTGTCATACCAGCATAGCTGGAGGCACAATTGGGCCCAGGATTTCCGACATGCCAAAAGAGAGGATCTGCAAGTACAAGCTGTATTTAGACATAAAACACGGGAGATGCCCAACTATTCAACCTGCCTGGGCAGATGCTGCCTTCACACACCCAGAGCCAGCCAACAGAAAGTCAGGGGGCTGAGCTGCAGCCCCGAAGGCAGCAGGGATAGCTGGGGAGACTCTCCGGCATTTATACCGCCTTTACATTGCGGATTTATGAGTTCAGACCTTGGAGTGTAATTTCACTCAGCAAGCACCAGTAGTACACGAGTGTAATGAAAACTTGCACATATCCACAGGAGCGCTGTGAGTACCACCAGGCTTTGCAGTATCACACACTGCAAACTGTTGGTGCCTAAATCAATATCTGTCAGCGTTCAACGACAAAGACACAGCGCTTCAGACGTGAAAAGATCACACGTTATCAGATTTGCCACTTGTCCAGGCAACCCAGGCTCTGCGATGCAGACTGATTACAGTGAAGAGATACACCATTATGTTCCACACACTGCAGCTGGGAGGCACCAAGAGGAAGCCAGCATCTGGGACGTGGAGCCTTTGCTTTAGTTTGCCCGAAAAGAACAGCAAACGTCTCTCCCTGGGCTGCAGCACAGCCACAGCTCTCCCACGTGTTGCTCTCCTGCAACAAGGATCACGTTGTGTGGTTCACTGTTCTCCCTCCAACTGGCCACCGTCCACATTCTTCTATATCGAGCTGCACCTCCTGCTCTAAAGATGAGAGCACCAGGCCTTCTTTTGATAAGTGTTAGTCGCATTCCCAAACGTGCACACAGAGTAAGGGGATGACTTTCAAATGCCAACCAACATCCCAGGGAACTCTGCTGGTTTTCTTTGAGTGGGTTTCCATCAGTGAGGCTACAAAAGGCAGTTTTCCATCGGACACTTACTGATTATTGAAGATGCAGAAGTCATCTCTCGTCTTCTGAATCTTTCTGTGTTTTAACGAAACAACTGTTCTGTGATTGAGAAGCCCCATTTGTCACCAGCCTCAGGGGAGAGCTGGCACCAAGATTCCAAAAACCTCGAAGTGGGCTCTCAGCCCTGCTGCTGGACACTGACCCACAGCCACTGCTGCTACCACATTATCATGGACCCAAACTGGTAGAGGCCGGCCCCAAAATTTCAGTATGTTTCAAGGTGGATAAGAGATCTCTTGCAGACAAATAACAGACCTACCTGCTAGCTTCAAACAAACAGCAACTAACCCAGAATTTTAAGGTTTCACACCTCAAATACTTTCAATTTTCTGTCTTTTCACTCAAAAAAATTCATTTTTTGCCATCTGCTTTTAATTCAGCACTAGGATTCCACATCCTCCTATGAGATTTACAGTAAAATCATCAAAACCCAGCAGAATGTTCAGCTCCTGAACTTGCACCATCCTTCTTAGGTGGCTCAGCACACTGTGAAACCAAAGCACAGTCATCTGGTGCATAATTAGTGCACCAGTCTTGTAAAATGAGGGAGGCACCAGGAGCTTACCTAACTAATCTGAAAACGTAAGATGCTCATTGTCTGTAATCACTGTCTTTATCATCCTTGATAGTTACTGATAGGCACCAGATGATGCTACCTCTCTGACAGTGAGAAGCACCTGGAAACGCAGCACAGGCAGAGCAGTGGGAAAGCTGTTGAAAAGGGCTGGCTTTGGACAATTAAAGAGATTCACTGCAGGGGTTTGGAGGTGTAAGATAAAAAGGAGGGCACAGGAAACCTCAGGAATCCAGCAGGGATGTGGCGATGCCACAGATCCAGTGGTAGAGCCAGCAAAAAGATGCATGCTCGAAGATTATGGACATGCGATCAAAACGGGTTGTGTGGTGGCAGTTTAACAACTTTGCAGCCACTGTCTGAAGTGCAGTAAAACACCATGAATATTTTTCACTCACACTGCCTCCAGAGCACAACCCCTGATCAGCACTAAGCACAGAGCTGCAGCAACTCACTCATTCAGCTGTGTGTCCACTCTCTGGGACCCTGAGCCTTCCCAGCCATTCTGCCCTCAGCTGCTGGATTAAAGCAGGGGAGCACCAGGTTTACACAACTTTGGGTCAATCTCAGAGGAGCACAGTAGAAATGCACTTTGTTAATTTACCACTACAAAGCTGATGTTTATAACTATCTGCTTATTTTTCATTGCTATCACAAAAAAAGTTACGCACTAAGCCACCCACATTGAAGAAATGCACCACTAGAAGAGCTGAACTCCTAGGAAGTAGGAAAGCACAGAAATTCAGGGTCTGCATTCCCCATCTAAGCACAGCTCTCTGGAACAGGTCCATGCAGAGCTCTGAAGATCAGCCTCCAGATCACTGGGGCAGAAGCATTTCAGCCCACCATGAGGAGTCAGTGTAAGCGTGCACACACAGTTGGGCTAAGGATTCAGGTGCCAAAGTGCTGGTTCTGCCTAACAGAAGCTGGCTTTGGTGGCAAGGTTCCATTTGTGTTCTACCATTATTCTTCCTAATGAAAAGAGAGCCACTTATTGCTCATACCTGAGCTCTCAGACTGAGTTCCCAGGCCCTTCCTTGCTCTGAAACACTCAGCAAATCTCTCTAATTTGGGGTAGTAACAGATTGTGCTTTGCACCTCTCCTTGGGTCTCAGGGAGAAGGTTGCTGGAGAGAAACCAAAGCTGCTTCTCAATCTTGCCAGTCACATTTTTGCATTTACCAGCTCAGTTGGTATTGCAGCTTAGCAAAGGGTGGGGAATGGCCCTCATCCAAAGCAGGGCATTGCTTCTGGCAAATGCTGGCAACAGGTATTTCAAGTCTGCCTCTTAGCTATTCAGATGCTGTACTGTTTGACCTGCTGTCCATCAAGACTGCCACAAAAAAAAAAAAAAAAAGGAATACAAATTATGGGAACATCTCTACAGCTTACGATGTACCTAAGAACACAGTTCTTTATTTCAGTAGTGAGAAGTGGGTTTTGCCTAATAGCACTACATTCTCCACTGGGCTAGAAGTGACAGTGCTTGATGGAATTGAAATACAATTCAACTGAAGAAATAAATACAGTTACTTCTAATAACTTCAGGCCGTTGTCCTTCATACACCGTGCACACCCCAGAAGTTTAACAGCGTCACATTTGAAACACAAAGGGAAGCAAAAAGAAGAAAACACGTAACTCAGCATTTGCATATAAGCCCTGCAAGACAGAAGCAGCACACTCACCTGTCTGTTCTGAGATGGCAGTGTGGCAGACTGCATGTGTCTCTGCACCCGGTGTGGCTGCATCAGCTGTCGGAACTGCTGCTGGAGGAACTGGCTGTTGTTAGCCTGCTGGGACTGCTGGGCGGCTGGAGACTGCTGCTGCTGCTGCTGGAGATAGTGAATGAGCGACTGCTGCCCTTGTCCTGCTGTCAGGGGTGACATCTTTTGAGTAGCTGACTCCGAGGCAAAGTGAGATAGTGGCTTGGTGTTGTTGAAAGAAAACTGGTCTTGGTTAACAGGGCTCTCATTCACCAGACCTGGCTGTAAGCTCGCGGATGGCTGTTGCATAATTATATTCATATTTTTGGACTGGCTCGTAGTCATTGATTTAAAAAGTGAGTTCTGCATATTTGTGGGGTTGTTGTTGGGAGTGATATTAGAGATTAATGGACCTTGAGGACTGAAGGGCTGCTGATGCAGAGCGGGGCTTGACAGCTTCTCTGGCCTGTATGGTGGAGAAGGTCCAGTATTTGTGGAAGCCATGCTGGCAACCAAGTTGTTCTGTGGACTTTTAATATTGCTGGCTGGTAAGCTGGCTGCCGTCAGGGCTGGCAGCATGGAGCTCTGTGGGCTGAAGGGCTGCTGGTTCAGAGCTGGACTGGAAAGCTTCTCAGACCCGTAGGGAGGAGAGGGGCCGTTGGAGGGGGTGCTGCTGGAAGTCATGCTTGAAAGCAGAGTGTTTTGAGGACTCTGAATGTTGTTTCCTGGTAAATTATTAGCAGGCATACCAGATACCATAACATTTTGAGGACTGAAAGGCTGATGGTGGGGGGATGATCCTGCCCTATAAGGAGGAGAGAGACCAGGAGGAGACATAGATGGCCAGCTAGGAGCCTGTACTTGTTGCTTTGTAGTAGACACCTGCTTGCTAGCTGCCAGCTGCTTTAGCTGCTGAGCATGCCAGTTGGAGCCAGGTATGTTGGGTAAGGGTACTGGAAGCATGGGTGGTGGCTGATTCTTGCTCTGAGCTGCTGCAGAGATGGGTGATGCAGCAGGTTTGTTTGAGGGAGGAACCTGGAAGTTAGCTCCAGCAGATGATGGCCTCATCTGAGGAGATCCCCCACTGGTTGGGTTGCAGCTTGGGGAAAAGTCTTTGTTAGCAACATGGTTCTCCAAGTGGGAAGTCTGCGGGGAGGACTTTGGAGTGGTACTTATGCTTGGTTGAGAATGACTCAGCCCAAGTGGCTCTTCAGCCTTGCTGCCCAGAATCTTCTCCAGATCCAGGTCATTGGGAGAAGGATCAGGCATCTTTGTCAGTTCTTCCAACAGATCTTGCAGCTCCTGGTCCACAGACTGTAAACTGTTTCCTTTCTCATCATAGTGGACAATGCTGTTACCCTGCCCTCCTACTGAGCCCTTCTGATTTATTTCCGTGTTGGGTGGCACAGAAAATGGGGAGCCGATGCCACTACCATTCATGTGATTGTTTTCCAAGAGCACTGAATGACCTGTGACTGCCATGGAAGAAGTGCTGTGACTGGTGGAGAATGGAGAACTTTGCATTTCTGGACACGCCACATTGGGATTGGTACCTTGGCCCATGGAAAGGGTTACATCATCGAGACAAAGTCTTTTACTGTCATTTGGGAAAATGACATCAGGCACACCACTGGAGGCAGGAGAGCTATCATCTTCCAGTTTTCTTTTAATGGATCCCTGTAACTGGGAAAATAAAAATGGAAAAAATGGTTACTGACCTTACTCTAATGTGCTCTAAAGCTCCAAACTGTAACACTGGGTTGGAGATATTGAAAATTAAACCGCACAATTAAAAAACCAATCACGTGAGACAAATTCAATCAGGATTTAAGTGGGTGTGACTTCACTGAAATCAGATGAGTTACAGTCAGACAAAGGCTCGATCTCACATGCTGGCCTTAAGACAGGTGTTAAAGCTATAAAACACTGCCTGTCATCTGAACTGTAATAGAAGTTTTTAAAATCATTTCTGGTATCATCTCAATTAAGACGTTATACTCCCTGCATAACAAACATGCCAGCATGTTTCATGGTCTAGACAATGGCAGAAATGAATGAAACCCTGGATAGAATTTAGCTACCTCCTGTCAGTGACTCGGATTAAATTCAGACCTGAGACAACTAAGTTGTTTTACATTCTTTATTCTGAAATAACTGGCATGCTTTCTAAACAAACTAAAACAAAGAAACAAACAAAAAGATCCCAATTACCTATCTAATGGGACTTTCAGCTTTCAACCTTTTTTTAATCATAGATAGTTTAGATTTTCTTAACAGTAAATAACAGCTAAAATCTTAACTTTTGTTTGTTTTCCTAAGTCTCTGGCGGTATAGGCTTCATTCACATTAGGATGCAACTTATTTGTAAAAACTGAAGTATTTTCAAAATACCATGATGGAAATATCTTCATCTTTAAGAAATGGCATAGTGGTAAATCCACACGTTTTGGAGGAAAAATAAACCAACTTCATTATGCTTAGAAAAAAACTGAAACTAAAAATAATGTCTCTATCACAAATTCAGTGCAATATACTCATCTCCTCCAAATATAATCATCTGTGGCTTTCATTTTTAACAACTTTGACCTGTATGTCATAGGATTAATCAAACATTAACATTACTGCTTCAAGTTAAGGAAAATAAGCCTTCTGTTCTTGTGTAATAGTAGAGGGAGGTGGTGTTTAAAGAAGTATCTTGTCAGCAATGGAGAAGCCATAGAGAGTCACTGTTCCTCTAAGCCAGCTCACAGTAAAACCTCTCCCAGCCCTGAACTACCATTCAAAGCACTGCTAGTCACCTCGCACCAGGAAAAAAATCCTCTCTCCTTGTAATACCCGCCCGCAGCATTAAAAGAGCCCCACCACCTATTGCCAGTGTAGTCACGTCCACTGTAAGGCTGCGGTGGGTATGACTGGCTTCTGAATTTTGCACTAAACATTACAAACATCTCACCTGTGTCTAAGTGTCACTACACAAACAGCCACGTTGGTGCTCAATACAGCTGTTGCCACAGGACGGTCATCACAGGGCACACAAGGCTGCAGGGCACAATATGGGCACATGGTGCAGCTGCTTCTGCAGTGTACAAATGGCCAATGGTCACCCTGAAATTCAGCCCATCTTCTATGGGTTCAAGCAACTGACCACAGACTGGGGCTGTTCTGAGCTGGGAACTTGGAGCAGTTTTCCAGCGGCTTGCTGGACACATGAGTGCTCTCACATCATTTGTTTCTAAATTGGTGGGCAGAGAGAAGATTGTAAGTTTGGCCCAGCATGTGATCAGGCTGTAGAGATACTTTCCTACTTGTTAATGCCCAACTTGCATGGGTATTTGGAGGTGAGTGAGAGGATGCAAGTTAGTTGTACATGAGGAACAGGGTGCTGGCAGATGGAAAGACAGGTTTGTATGCTGTGGTGAGCAGCTGCTCAGGCTTTGGGAGAAATTCACCTACCACACAGCAGTTCTGAATGGTATTGTGGGAAAGAGACCTTTTTGCACAGACATTTTTCACCTACCCTCTAAGGAAGCTATTCCTTACTAGAGCAGTCACTGCTCCTGTTCTGCGGCCTCCAGTTGCACTGCTTTACCCTAAGCTGCCCCCAGAAACCACGAGTGAGTCGGATCCGGCCCGGAACGGGGAGTGCTGCTTTCGGTGTCCTGCATGCCGTGGCCCAGCAGCCCTCTTCAGTCAGCTGTGCCATGTGCGGTTTGACCTGACTGCAAGACTGCAAGAGACTGTCCTTACATCGCTGCCAGAGATGGCTGAAGCACCAGGGACTGGATTATTTCTCTGGGCTGATGAGGCCAAAATTTGCATAGCTTCAGGAAATGGAACAAGGCCTAAATCTTCTCCCAAGTGTTAGTCTAATGATGGATGAAATTGTTTTCCTTCATTTTCTTTGACAAACCTAAGCCAGAGGTACATGTTTCAACAGATGCTGCCCTGTGTAGGCTGAAACACGTTGGTGGAGCATAACTACATATATTTAAACCCAGACATGTATAGGGAATCTTTACACAGGCTTCACACATCCAAAATAAACACCGCACGTTCCCAAGTTGCACACTGGGAACTTTGCAGCAGGCGGTGCTGGGGGATCTCCCACACTTGGCCAGCTGACATGCTGGCATGTACATCCCTGCCAAAGGACATTCCTGTGCTCTGAGCTACTGGGGAGAAAATTGGGCTTTTTAAACACTTAAAAAGTATTGTATAACCGTTGCACTGGGGAGTAATGTGAAAACCCATTTCCCCAAGACTGGAACTATAGGTAAAATAAAGCCATGGTGTTCAGAAACACAGGCATTCCAAAAGCAGGACAGGATTTTTAAGTAAGCTAGATTGGAAAAGAGGTGCAGTGATGTTAGCTGAGTGTTACGTTCTCTTGAAAAGCAAGGTTCCTTTTTCCCAGGTGAATACTTGCACGAAAACCATGAAGTCCAGAAGACCATTTTCCTTCACTGTTGGCAGGTACAACTCCACAAAATTTCACAGTATTGTATTTGGTTAAGATACATTTGTCTACAGCCACAAGTTTGAGAAAGATACCATTCTTAAAGTGGACTAAACAAATTACAGAGTAATTTGGGGTGGAAGGGATGACAGAGTATCATCAGCTCTGTGCTTGAAGCGGATCACAAATGAAAAAACTAGACAACAGTGTTTCACTAGGCACTTAATATGAAGTATTAGGGACAAACAGAATTCTTTCCTCAGGGTGGACAGGCTAGCTGAAATATTCCTCAGTCAGATACAGTGACTGCTCCTCCCACACTGCACTGGTGAGGTCTCTGATGGAGCCAGCACATCTCCCCAGCTCCCTCTGAATTGCTTCCCTCGTTTGGCCCTGGATTCCCAGAGAAGGGAGCTGATTTATACCCATTCTTTATCTCTTTTGAGAGGGTTTATGCTATTTGACAAAATCAGCAGAAATGAGGAGAGAACCAGAATATGTTCTTTTCCTTTCTTTGCTGGCTGTATGCTGGGCAGCCTCCTTCCAAACTGAATACCAGTGAGAGAATATACATACGATACAAACACATAACACACAGGCTTAAGCTGGCTGGGAGCTGTACAGCCACGGACGGGAAAACCCCATGCACATCTGCAAACTAAGACCGAGCAGATAAGCGACAAACTTGGTGACCTTGTCAAAATCCATCGCAATACAAATCCAATTGCATGCAGGTGCTAGCTTAGCTTCTTTCAGGGAATACTTAGGAAACAAAGGCAAGCCCTCTGATGCAGGGACCATCTGGTCGGTCTGCTTGTGTAAGTGAGTGCGCCGTGGTCCCGGCCCTGCTATGCTTTCAGAATGAACAGGCGTGCTTCTGGGAAAGGCCCAAGTTCCAGACGAGTCACACTGCTGGTTCCTAATGGTAGCGTAACAAGAATAAATAATAACTGTTTACACTGCTCCTTCCCCGGCAGCTCCACAGCTGTGGTTGCAAACATCTCATCTGTCACACAGCAGCTCTGCTCAGGGCAGCAGCCCCCACGCGTGGACAGCACGCTCTGTGGGCGCTGTGCTGTGAGGGCTGGGGGCTGCGGCCTGCAGGCTGGGCCCCACCACTGCTCCTTGCACCCGCTGCTCCCCAAGCACAGGCGGCAGCGCTGGCCTCTGCACACCTACTATTTCTCAGCAATGGCTGCAAGTGATGAGAGCAAAGAGATTAAATTGTCAGTAGATGCACACCGTGGTGGTGCCATCGGATTTTAATAACACACCGTGCGAGCTTCTCCAGTCTGGCTCACTGCCTTGCCATCACTGCAAGTTCTTCCTTTAACTCAAGAACTCACTGGTTACCACATCAGCCTGATGATCCAGCCTGTCCCATGGCCCTGCTGCCAGCCTGCACTTACTCTGCTCCTTTCCTTGGGCCTTTTCTTGCACCCCCTGGCAGGGAAAAACCTCCACCACCCACTGGGAAGATCTGTGAGGCTTTCGTCCCCCTTCCACCAAACATAAGCTGAATGTAACAGAAGATTTCTATTCCAGACAGTGTAAAGCAGAAACAAGAGAAGAAAAATGTTTGGTGAGGTATTTCTGTGCTTCTCTCTGGCTTCTGCAGCCTGTCAGAGATTCAAGCCTTGATTTAGAGCAACCGCAGGGTGCTGATTATTGATCTGCAGCCACCTCACCCCACTCGTTGCCACTGAGTGATCCAACCTACAGCAGTGATTCCCACACCCACAAGCATTTTCGTGCAAGAACCAAGCCCTATGAGACACTGCCATTTTGAAACCACCTCTGTAGAGCCTGTGAAGTGTTCTCCTCCAGCATCCTGTCCAGCTCCCCTGACTCCCTGCAGCCGTCATCACTGGCAACCCTCTTGACTTAAGAGTGTGAAATATGTCAATCTGGGACCTCCAGAATGGGAGTCAGATAACCTTCTTTCTCCAGGAGTCACAAGGCCCTTGTAACTCTTGGGAAAACCCAGGTGTTGGCTCTTCTATTGGTTTGATTAAAGAAAAGAGAAATGATGGTAGGAGGAGAAGGAGCAGATGGGGAATATTTCAGTCTCTCCCGAGCCACCAGTACTTGCTAGTGTTCTCTGGCAGCCTTTCTCATAGCTTTTCAGAGCAAGACCCTGGTGCCTCAGAAACCTGGGAATCAAGGTCACCAAGAGTGAAGGTTAGATAAAGTATTGTGAAAAAAGAGCGCAGTTAATTTTCGGTGG